AAAAAAAAAAAAAATGGCTATCCATAATAGAAGGCTGTCTGATCCACAGGTGTTGGTGGTGATGGTGCAGGCCAGGCGGTGTTTTGTTCTGTTGAGTGTGGGGTCACCGGGAGTCAGGGGGACTTGACAGCAGCTGACGATGACAAGGATATTGATTAGTGCCAAACATAAGCTGGGGCCTGTCAGCACTACGTATCCACTGGGTCATTTAATCTCCACCACAAAGCCAACTTATGTAGGTAGCCTATCATAATTTTAGAAGTAAGACCGCTGAGGCTGAGAACAGTAAGATATGTCTCTGGGATCACATATCTGGAAAGGGCCAAAGTTGGGATAACAGCCCAGGTCTGCACTGCAAGTACAGACTCTTCTTTACAAATCCTGTGGCTGTCACGTCGATTCTGACTCACAGCAACCCTATGGGACAGAGCAGAACAGCCCCACAGGCTTCGAAGGCTGCAATCTTTATGGAAGCAGACTACCACATCTTTCTCCTGTGGACTGGCTGATGGGTTACAAATGTTGACATTTGGTTAGCAGCCAAGCACTTTAACCACCGTGCCATCAGGGCTCTTTTATCTACAAATTGGGCCTGCCATTTTCACTGTGAGGCTAATACTAAGACTTAGTAAAATGGCTTGAAACCAGAAGAATGGTGGGATGGCTTGGACCATGTTCTCCCTGCTGTGATTTCCGGTGCTTCCTGTGCACGCCGTGTTGCTGAGGACACTGCGTAAGAATGTTTCCTGAGCTGTGGCATGACCCAGAGAGTCATGGCTGGGGATGGTGGCATGTTCCTTGTGTTCCTGCTTCAGCTGGAGTCTCCCTTGTCACAGACTTCAGCACTGAGTGCAGACACGCGTGCCTCACAGCTCCACGTGTCCAATGCTGTCACAGGACGCGCTTCTTTGTGGTGGATGGCAGCCAGGGGACAAAGAGGGTCTCACGTCCAAGCTGGAGTTAAAATGCACCCACGACCACAACGCGCTCTTTGGGATTTATCGAGCCTTGCTGTAATCCACACTGTTCTCCATCAGCCAGTGCCTGTCAGCACACTGCTAATGAGTGAGAAAGTCACCCACAAAAAGTGGGGAGGAAGCAGAGAGGGAGAGAAGGAAATGAGAAATCGCAATTCATTAATCTACAAAGAAACGAATCCGCAGACTTCATTACGCCACCAGGAAGAGGATGATTAAAGAGACTCGAGCTGCCACATGGTTCAGCCACCTAGTCCCTGACAGAATGGAAAATACGGGAAAAAATTAAAAAAAATCCAACACTGTCTGTGTGATCATGTGGCCATCGACTTTTAAAAATGCTATTATTGATTTTTAAAATGCTCTTATTGACTAGACACTGATGGATCCAGCTGTGAGCTTGCCGATTTAGTCACAGATCCTTAAAAAGTAAATGGAGATATTTCACTTACTGATTTTTGTAGATGTGAGGCCTAAAATGGAAAAATCAGGCCGTTCAGCATTAGGAAATTCTCTCATTAGATTTTGCATTTCTTTTTTTATCGTGTACAGAGCAAAACCTTCATGGGGCTATAAAATATCTCATGTTGGTGTATAACCAAGAAGACAGGGCAGGTTTCCTATACACGGAGTGACTGGTGGGTTCAAACTGCTGATCTTTGAGTTAACAACTGAATGTTTTAACCACTATGCTACCAGAGCTCCTTCATATGGATTAGGCTGGGCCCTAAGTCCAATGACTGATGTCTTCATTAGAGGAAGGAGATTTGGAAATATAGAGACACACAAGGAAGATGGCCCTGGGGCAGAGAGTGAGGTGAAGCTACCTTAAACCAAGGACTGCTAGCAACCTCCCGAAGCTAGAAGAGCCTTCAGACAGGGCATGGCACCCCCTTTGTGGTGCTTTGTTAGGGCAGCCCCAGGACACTAAGACAGAGGGCTTGGTTCCTCTGGTCCAGTAGTGCACCATCAGCCAGCCCAGAGTGAGAAGCAGGACTAAAGGAAACTTACTTCCAGCGACCGTGTGCCAAGAAGCCCCGTTGACCGTCCCGTCTTCCTTCTGGAAGTCTTCCGTGTGGCAGACCCTCCTACGCGCGTCTGTCATGAGGCGGTGAGTGGAGGCATACGAGTAGGCTAGCCAGCGGAACACGTGGTCATCGGGGGTGGGGGTGTGCTCCTGGGTCTTCCACAGCGACCGCACCATGTCGTAGGGGTATGCCACCACCAGCTCCCCGCCCTGCAGGTTTCCGCCCAACACAAAGGGAATCTTTTCCATCCACGCGATGACTGCCCTGGTCTCCACGGCCACCTGTGAACATTCGCAGGTGAAACACACTGATAAGTAAAATAAAAAGGAGACTTCTTTATCATCCCAGCTTTCAAAAGGCGGACATGTTGAGAAAGCAATAATTTTATGGCAGAATAGTAATAAAATTTAGAATTTAACAATCTGCCCTAAGATAAATGGACTCTGTGGAAATGATGTGTAAGCGGAAAGTGGAATCATTTGGTTTTTGCGTGATTTTGATCTAAGAAAGGGAGGATGAAGAAATTGCCGCCTTCATTTTTTTTTGAGAGGGTTGTTGACCTTTAATAAATTTTATTTTAGCATATTTTTAAGTTGACAGAGAACTCGTGCAGTATCAGACGGCAGCCTCCATCCCTCCTCCTCCCACTACACAGTTTCTCCTGTTATTAACTCTTGCAGTCACATGATATATTTGTTACAGTGCATGCATCAATATCAATACAGTATTATTAACTATATTTATTATATATTATAACCTATGTATTATATGGTGTAGTGCCTAAGGCATCTGACTGCTAACCAGAAGGCTGGCGGTTCAAGCCCCACCAGTCACTCCTTGGAAAGAAGATTGGGCAATCTACTTCTGTAGGGAAACTGCCTAGGAAACCCAAGGAGGGGTTGCTATGAGTCGGCTCCAACTCGACAGCAGTGAGTTTGTTTTGTTTTTTTGTATATATTATAGCTATAGTTCATAGTCTACTTATGGTTCCTGCACTGTGTTGCATAGTTCTACGGGTTTTGATAAACACATGTCATGTGTCCACCATGACAGTATCATAAAACAGTGTCCTAAAACAATTTGCTTCTTTTTTCTATTCTATTTTATGTTTCTAGGAAACATCAGTGTTGCTGTGTGAGTGTGTGTGTGTGTGTGTACATATATATGGCTATAGTTCAGTTTTTCCCACTGTGATATCATTATTTCATCATTGATCTATTCTTGGAATGATGGGCATATAGATTATTCTCAATTGTTTGCAATAATGAACAGTGTTGTGAATTTTCTTGTTCACGTTTGTAATATGCACTGAAATTTATCTTGCTTATAACCTTCATCTGTGCCCATTCCAAAGAAAGATGGGTCAAAAGATGTGTCAATTATCAAGCAACATCATTAATATCACACACAAGTAAAATTTTGCTGAAGATAATTAAAAAATGGTTACAACAATAAAATGCTGACAGGGAAATGCTAGAAATTGAAGCTGGGTTCCGAAGAGGGTGTTGAATGAGGGATAACATTGTTGATGTCAGATGAACTTTGGCTGGACACAAACAATACTAGGAAGATGTTTACCTGTGTTTTACTGACTGCATAAAGGTATTTGACTGTGGATCATAACAAATTATGGACAACATTACAAAGAAAGGGAATTCCAGAACACTTAGTTGTGCTCAGAAGGAACCTGTACATAGACCAAAAGGAAGTCATTCTAACAGAAAAAGGAGATACTGCATAGTTTATAATCAGGAAAGGTGTGTGTCAGGGTTGTATCCTTTCACCATAGTTATTAAATATGTGTGCTGAGCAAATAATCTGAGAAGCTGGACTGTATGAAGAAGAATGCACCATCAGGATTGGAGGAAGACTTATCAACAACTTGCAATACGCAGATGACACACTGCTTGCTGAAAGTGAAGAGGAGATGAAGCACTTACTGATGAAGATCAAATACTACAGCAGTAAGGATCACACCTCAACATAAAGAAAACAAAAATCTTCACAACTGGACCGATAAACAACATCATGATAAATGGAGAAAAGATTGAGGTTGTCAAGGACTTCATTTTACTCGGCTCCACAATCAACACCCATGGAAGCAGCAGTCAAGAAATCAAATGACGTATTCGATTGGCAAATCCTCTACAATGACTTCTTTAAAGTGCTAAAGAGCAAAGATGTCACTTTGAAGGCTAAGGTGCACCTGACCCAGGCCATGGTATTTTCAATAACCTCATATGTATGTAACAGCTGGGTAATGAATAAGGAAGACCATAGAAGAAATGATGCATTTGAATTGTGGTGTTGGTGAAGAATATTGGTTGTACCATGGACTGCTAGAAGAATGAACAAATCTTTCTTGAACGAAGTACAGCCAGAATTCTCCTTAGAAGCGAGAATGACAGACTCCGTCTCTCACACTTTGGTCATGCTGTCAGGAGGAACCAGATCTTGAGGAGGACACCACGCTTGGTAAAGTAGAGGGTCAGTGTAAAGGGGGATGACCCTCAATGAGATGGACTGACACTGTGGCTGTGACAATGGGCGCGGCATTGATTGCAAGGATGGCACAGGACCAGACAGTGTTTCATTCTGTTGCTATGAGGGTCGCTATGAGTTGGAACTGACTGGATGGCACCTAACAACAACAATGTAACCAGAAGTAGAATTGCAGTCATAATATATGTAAATATTCCACTTTATAAGGTGATCAAACTATTTTCCAAAGCTGTGCGAATGTATTCTTACCTCAGTGTAGAAGATCTACTGGCCCATGTCCTCTCCCACATCTGGGTATGGTCGGGATTCTAATATTGCCAATCATTTCTTTGAGGTTGCAGTGTGCTTGCCTAAAATACAGCATTTCCCAAATCTTACAGTGGAGTGAAGTAGCCCTGCTGGTGTAATAGTGAAGTACTCAGCTGCTAACCAAAAGTTTGGTAGTTCAAACCCCCAGTGGCTCCATGGGAGAAAAGGCCTGGAGATCTGCTCCTGTAAGAATTACAGCCTAGAAAACCCAATGGGGCAGTTCCACTCTGTCCTATAGGGTTGTGATAAGTTGGAATTGACTTGACAGCACATGGCAACAATGAAGTGAGCTGATACCATGTGACTAAATTCTGGCCAATGAGATTAAGCAGAAGTATTGTGTAGGAATTCTAAGAAGGTATCTTAAAGGAAATTGAATTATGTGAGGTTGTTGTTGTCGTTGTTTAACCATTTATGTTATCTTCCTTGCAGACATGACAGCTAGAGCACTGACTGCCATCTTGGATTTGACCTTGAGGATAGAAGCCATGTACTAACATGTAGATACAGGAAGACAGACGAATCCTAGAATTCTAATGATTATGGGTCAAGAAGTCAAACAACGTATTGCATTGAGTAGACCTACTACAAAAGACCTCTTTAAAGTGTTACAAAGCAAAGATATCACTCTGAGGACTAAGGTGCACCTGACTCAAGCCATGGTATTTTCAATTGCCTCATGTGCATGCAAAAGTTGGACAATGAGTAAGGAACACCGAAGAAGAATTGATGTCTTTGAATAATGGTGCTGGCGAAGAATATTGAATATACCATGGACTGCCAGAAGAAGAAAGAAATTTGTCTTGGAAGAAGTACAGCCAGAATGCTGCTTAGAAGCAAGGATGGTAAGACTTTGTCTCGAGTACTTTGGACATGTTGTCAGGAGGGACAAGTCCCTGGAGGAGGACATTACGTTCAGAAAAGGACAAGGTCAGTGAAAAAGAGGAGCCCCTCAATGAGATGGAGTGACATGGTGGCTGCCACACAGGGTTCAAGCATAGCAACAACTGAGGACCGGACAGGACTGGGCGGTGCTTTGTTCTATTCTACCTAGGGCTGCTACGAACCCATTGCCACTGAGTCGAATCCGACTCACAGCAACCCTCCTCGGGTTTCCGAGGCAGTATCTCTATGGAAGTAGATTGGCCACTCTTCCTTCCGAGGAGTGACTGGTGGCTTTGAACCATGAGCCTTCTGGTTAGCAGCCAAACACCTTAGGCACTATGCCACCAGAGCTGCCAGGGCTGCTATGAGACAGAACCAACTTCACGGCACCTAACGACAGAATGATAATGGGGCTTCTGTGTGGCCAGCCCCGCACCATCTGCCTCCAGGGTTCTTTCATGTGAAAGCAGAAATAAACTTCAATCTTTTTACAAGAAATGAAACCCACTGTTGTCAAGTCAATTCTGACTCATAGTGACCCTACAGGACAGAGTAGAACTGGCCCACAGGATTTCCTACGCTGTAGTCTTTATGAAAGCAGACTACCACATCTTTCTCGTGCAGAGAGGCCAGTGGATTTGAACTGTTAACCTTTTGGTTAGCAGTTGACTGCGTCATCAGGGCTGCTTCTATCTTGCTAAGCCTCTGTTATTTTGGTTTATCAGTTACCGTATTTCTCACCAATAGGGTGTTCATGTAAATAATGGGCACACTCATATAACTCATAGAGTGTGTGTAAGAAACCCATGATTTGTGTAAAGTACGATCTATGCAGCTGAACCTAATCCTGTATTACACAGCAATCCAGGCAGACCTCTTGAAAGGCATGTAGGATCATAGAACAGGGGTCAGGAGGCAGGTTCTGGTAGGCAGAGGGGGAAATAAAAGGCATGGAAAATTTTGTGAGAATCTTTCCTTCTCCCACATACTCTGTGAAAGAAGGTGTAAGAGATTTGAAGGAAACGTCTCTTATCCAATTTCATTTTTCTTTCTGAAGAAGAACTACATGTAATAATCGGTGGGAATTTATTAAAACAAAAATATCTCAAGCCAACAGTGGGGGCTAAGGGTACTTTCAGAGCAGTATAACCGATGATAATGAGTTTAATAGTCATGGCATTGTCAGGTGCTGTCAAGAGTGTTCCAACTCATACAATCTGTGCACAACAGAAGGAAACACGGCCCGGTCCCATGCCATCCTCATAACTGGTGTCATGCTTGAGCCCATTGCTACAACACTAATTATGCAAACTCTGGGATTCAGTGAGCAGTTATAACAAAATATAATTAAATGAGTTCTTTTCTGGTGTAATGCATAAGGCATTTGACTGCGAACTAGAAGGCTGGCGGTTCAAACCCACCAGCCACTCCTTAGAAGGAAGATTGGGAAATCTATTTCTGTAGTGATACCGCCTCAGAAACCCAAGGAGGGGTTGCTATGAGTCAGATGCAACTTGATGGCGTGAATTTGGGGGTTTTTTGTTTGTTTGTTTCTATGAAGAATCTCCCCAAACATTAACTTAAAAGGTAGTTCTTATCCAACACATCATCTCCCGTCTTTTGAAGAAAACATGAAAGAAAAATTGACTTTATCTTGTTCTTAAATGCCATTTCTTCTGAAAATACCAGTGGACATTAATGTTGGCCTTTGGCTGCTCAGCAGTTCATGCAGTATTTTTAACTCACCGTGGCATTTTCTGACAGAAACCACTCAGGGATGGCAATGTGGTGATTGGGAACTCTCCGTGGGACGTTGTGCCGGTCCTCTGCTTCCCAGAGCAGCGTGTTCAAGTCAGGGAAGTTGTTGTTGATGTCGATCCCCTCATGGGTCCAGCGCCCCAGGGACCAGCCGCCCAGCTCCGAGCCCTGGGAAACAGTCAGAACGTGAAGGGCCCACAGCCTGCAGTCAGTCCTGACTCTAACACCTGAGACGCACCACAATACTTCAAAGTAGGAGGTGCAGTGGTTAAGTGGTCAGCTGCTAACCAAAAGGTTGGTGGTTCAAACCCACCCAGCCACTCTAGAAAGACCTGGCAATCCATTTCCTTAAAGATTTACAGCCAAGAAAACACTATGGGGCAGTTCTACTCTAGCACATGGGGTCTCCATGAGTTGGAATCAACTCAGGAGCTCTGGTGGCGTAGTGCCTAAGGCACTTGACTGCCAACCAGAAGGCTGGTGGTTCAAACCCGCCAGCCACTCCTCAGAAGGAAGGTTGGGCAATCTACTTCCGTAGTGATACTGCCTCGGCAACCCAAGGAGGGGTCGCTATGAGTCAGGTCCAACTTGACGGCACAGAACAACAACAGTGGTACCCAACAGCAACCACCCTGAGTCTCTGGAAGTCCTCTGATCCAGAGATGGCCTTGAAAGGAGAGTATTAAGAAAGCTTCTGTTACTATATTAACATTGATACATGATGGCTCCAATAGCCCAACAGTTCTAGAGAGGGAATGCAGAGAACCACCCCTACACATGGAAGCGCTGAGGAAATACTCAGTCCCTTCTGCTCCCTCTTTCCTACTCCCCGAAGGAGGAGACCGCATCGTAGCAAAATCAACACGCACTGTACTAGCGCGTCCTCCTGGCCCTGCCCACGATCCTGCCTCACTCATCGGCACTGCACATCCCTAGCCACCTTTCTGCACCAATAGGTCCAAGTTGAATTCTGTACGGTATGGTTTGTATTTGTCAGGTACTATTGTTTTAAATATATTTTTCCATTTTATGCCCAGATATCGTGATACATAATTATACACGTATATCCTAACATAACACTACCTACAGTCTATCCACCATAGAGCTAGATTTGAACATGAAACAGGGGCACTCTATCAGAAGGACAGAGGCAACGATATACTGACCAGAGAAGTACAGCTCCTACTGAAGGCTGACCCATGCCTGACACCGAGTAGGTGCTCAACAGACATTAGGCTTTATTTCTTATGCTATTATCATCCTACACATAACATAGTAGACAGCATGAATGCGCCTTAGAAGTGAGGATAGCAAGGCTCCATCTTGGTTACACTGGACACTTCATTGGGAAGGACCAATCGCTAGAAAAAGACATCACTTTTGCCAAAGCAGGTCAGTGAACATGCAAGAAACCCACACTGAGATGGACTGACACCAAAGCTGCACAATGGGCTCCAAGATACCAACAGTTATGAGGCTGGCACAAGAGTGGGTGAAGTTCTTTTGTCACACATAAGGTCGCCATGAGTCGGAGCCAACCCAGCGGCAATTAACAACCCCGTTCATGTTCACTTTCTATGGTTTGTTGGCACAGTTACCTCCCAGGGCCACCATCATGCTTGGCTCCTGCACTAGAACACAAGTTTGGGAGGGACTGGATGGGAACTGGCTGGAAACAAGGAACGCTTCAAAATAGGATGGAAATAACTTTGCAGGGAACCCCTGTGTCTTGAGCCAACCATGGTCAGAAAGCCCTTGTGGGTCTGTCCTGTCTCCGGAGAGTGACACTTGAAAAGGTGGCTCTCCCCATACACTCGTGGCTCTGGAATGGGCCCAGCTGCTGGCGGAGGTGCGGGGAGCCGGTGCTATTACCCCTTCGTAAGCCTTCTCGTAGCCATCAGGATTGAGGGAAGGCAGGATGTGAATGCGGGTCTCCTCGACCAGGTGGACGACGCGCGCGTTCTGGGCCAAGTACTCCTGGCACAAGAACTGCATCAGCAGAAGCATCAGCTCACGGCCCAAAACCTCGTTGCCGTGGGCCCCGGCGATGTAGTGGAACTCGGGCTCCCCTGCACTCAGAGAGGGGAGAACACAGCTCACAAGGGGGCTCCCAGCAAAACGGCAGCTCATCACACTGTGTGAGGAGACGTCTCCCAATCATACACACGGACCACTCCAGCCCTGTCCGTCTTCAACTGTACTCCCAAATATATCTGCAGTGTTCCTTGTAATCCTGAGTAGGTACAAAATGTGGGGATGACACCAGCCACAGGCTAATGTTTATTCCTATTTAACCTGATCAGATAGAGGAGAGCAGTGCTTACAGTTGAAAATGTACAGGTTAAGCACAAGCCATAGCAATTACCTTCCTTTGTTGGAAAGCAATTATTCTTCTTAAAAGTACTGCCTGTTAAGCATTGCAAGGACACAAAGAATGGCAAATAAAAGCACCAGAGAGGCCATGAGGGCAAATCAGCAATGGCAGACTTTTACGAAGGGCTGTCCTTGAGTATTTTCTCTTTCAATGCTCAGCTTTTTCAACGGAGTTTCGCAGTGCTGGGTGAGCTCGCCTTCTCCTGGGCTCACTCAAAGCCACTGCTTTGAGGAAGTGTGCCTGCACCAGCAGATAAAGCGCCTGCCCTTTAAAACACACTCCTGAGAGACTCCTGAGATGGTGACGGGTGAGAAAGCTGAATGAATCAGACAAATCCTTGGCCTCAAATATCAGTGGATTTCTAAAGGGTTCCTGGGTTTGCCAAATGAAGAAACCAGGGCAGCCCGCCAGACCTGGAGGAATACAGGTTTGGGAAGGATTGAATGAGAAGTGACTAAAACAGGCAATACTCAACTTAGGACTGGAACTTCTAAAAGATTAAGATTAAAGGAACCCCTTCCACAGTGGGATGTTAATAATCAGGAAGTCCAGAATTTTCTCCCAGAATAAGACTCTAGTCTAAGAGTCCCCAGCCACCATGCTCTTTGTACTGCCGTGAATGGCCTCAGAGATGGGCATGGAATGAAATTTGGTCTCTTTGGAGAAAGAGGGGTATTTCTAGATTAAATAATTCTATAGCCCATGTCACCAGAAGAGGTTCACAGACTCAGAATCGGCAGACTCCTGCCTATGAGAGCTGTCACAGAGACAGCGGAGGCCCTACTGCATGAATGGTCTCATAGTGGAGAACCATCTCCTTGTCCTTGAAGAAGTCACCACAGTTGCACCCCTCACCGACTTCGTGCTCCCCGGGGTTGTCTGAGATCTCCACAGCATACAGCTTCAGGCCTTGGTGGCTTTTGCCGATGTTGTAAATTCTGGTGATATTGGGACACATTTCATTCACAACCTTCATCAACTGGAAAACAAAATGAGTGAAAGGCTCTGAGCAACAATGGCTGCCCCAACAAAGGGGCAGAGCTCCCAAGAAGACAGTCCACCTCCGCTCCTCTCTGTAGCACCCTCCCCGGGCACCTCCTTCCACCCTCCCTCCCATTCCACCTGCAGAGCCCTCCTGGACCCGTCCCCCATCCCCCGAGGATAACACCTACTCTTCCTTCTGACACCTGCACTACTGCCATTTCCTCTAAGAAGAAACCCCCAGCCATTGTTTCCTGTCCTTCTCCCCCACTGATTCCCATTGCCATGGTGTGTTATCACCTCTGCACTGTGACTGGCTGATTTCCTATCATCCCCTCATCTGACTGCCGGATCCTCCAGGGGACAGACTGAGCCTTTCATCTCTGAATCCCTGCCTAAGTAAATATCTATGACTCAACATCAAATCTTCACTTTATTGGACTAAAATGTATATAAAAAACCATTTGTCATTTTAACCATTTTTAAGTATATAGTTTAGTGGCATTAACTGCACTCACTATGTTGTACAACCACACCTCCATCTTGTTCCAAAAGGTTTCACCACCCCAAACAGAAACTCAGTGCCCCAGAAGCAAAGACTCTGCCCTTCCTCTTCCTCTCACCACTGGTAACTACTGATAGACTCTGTTCTCTAAGCACTTGCCTGTCCTAAATTTCACATCATTGGAATAGTACAATATCTGTGCTTTTCTGGCTGAATTACTTCACTCCACATAATGTTTTCGAGGTTCACCCATGCTGTAGCATGGATCAGAGCGTCACTTCATTTTATGGCTGAATAACATACCATGCTTTGTTTATCTCTTCATCTGTTGATGGACACCTGGGTTGTCCTGCTGCTGCCGTGAATACTGGGGAACGTGCTGGTTTGAGCCCCTGCTTTCAAGTCTTTTGGGCGTCTACCTGGGGTTAGGATTTCTGGGTCACATGATGATTCTGTTTAACTTTTCAAGGACCCACCAAATAGTCTTCCACCGCAGCTGCATCATTTCACATTCCTACCTGGAATGCATGAGGGTTCCAACTCCCCACATCCCCACTAACACTTCTTATTTTCCATTTTTCCCCATAACAGTTGTCCTACTAGGTGTGAAAGGAGCCCTGCTTAAGTGCTTGGCTGCAAACCAAGAGGGAGGCAACTTGAATGCACCTGTGGCTCCCTGGGACTCGGCAATCTGCTTCCATAAAGATGACAGCCTAGGAAACCCTAAGGGGCCGTGTCACTGTCACATGGGGTAGATCACTGTGAGTGGAAAGGCACCCGACAACAGCCCGGGCTGTGCAGTGGTATCTCGTCATGGTTTTGATTAGTTTTGTACATGCTCTCCATGAGCTGGAACCAACTCCAAGGCAACAGGTTTGTTTTCGCGTCAGAGGCAGACAGCTTCCGTCTGCAGAGCGTGAGACGAGCTGGGCACTATGTCACCAGAGCTCCCGAGCATTCAGCCAGCCCAGCAAAACAAGCTGCCCTCGGCAGTGGAGAGGGAGCAGACACAGCCTGCGCTCAGAAGACGCCTTGCCTCGTATCACTGACCAAGCACGTGGGTCTGGAGGTCAGCTCTGAGCAGCTCTGTTCTGCGGGGCTGAATCTGTTTTGCAATCCCCAAGTGTAAGAAGATCTGGTTCAGGGGGCATCTGTCTACTCCCTGAGCAAGGCTTACTGACGTGCCCACTCCTCAGCAGCCACTCTACTGGGCAGGGGGACAGAGGCACCTATGCTCATGGAGGAGGCGGGGTGTCACAGGACAATTTCTTGAGTGTATTGCAAACCAAGAGGAAACTCAGGTGCTCCTGGGGCAGCGTGGAAGGACACTGGCCAGGATGCCTGGCAGGCAGGTACCATCAGGAGGGCTTCATCCTTGGCAAAGATGAGCCTCACCTGAGCTGATGCTCAGAAATGAAGGCTATGGCCCACGGAGGGGCACCATGGACATGGGCATACTTTAATGACCTCTAAACGAAATCTCCACTCACAGAAAGACCAAAAAAATGCAATTGTAAGTTGTCAATAAACAAATCGGTTACAAATGTTATAGTGGGCTAATTCATATCTATCGTTGTTGTCAGGTGCCATTGAGTCAGCTCTGACTCATAGCAACCCCATGTATGATAGAAAAAAACACAGCCCGGTCCTGCATCATCCTCACAATCTTTGCCATACTTGAGGCCGTCATTGCAGCCACTGTGTCAATCCATCTTGTTGAGGGTCTTCCCCTTTTTTGCTGACCCTGTACTTTACCAAGCATAATATCCTTCTCTAGGGAATGGTCTCTTCTGATGACATGACCAAAGTAGGTGAGATGAAGTCTGGCCATTTTCACCTCCAGGGAACATTCCAGCTCCACTTCTTCCAGGACAGATTTGTTCTTTCCTCTAGTAGTCCATCGTACTTTCAGTATTCTTTGCCAACACCACAACTCAAAAGCATCAACTCTTCTTTGGTCTTCCTTATTCACTGCCCAGCTTTCACATGCATAAAACCAAAACCAAACCCACTGCCGTTGAGTCAGATCCGACTCATAGCGACTCCTCCTTGAGTTTCTGAGGCGGTATCACTACGGAAGTAGATTGCCCAACCTTTCTTCCGAGGAGTGGCTGGTGGGTTTGAACCGCCAGCCTTCTAGTTAGCAGTCAAATACCTTAGCCACTACACTACCAGAGCTCCCTAACATGTATTAGAACTGGAAAATTGATACTGTGCAGAATTTATGATACAATTGAGTTAGAGTTCCGTGTGTTTCACTTGCCTTTTGAAGCATAACACTATGCAATGACAGGATACAGGGGGTTCAGCCCTTTTGTGACCCATGGGATATGTATCACCCATCAACGTTTTCAAACTCTCAGGTTTCTTAAGAAGCTGTTATCCCAGTTGTAGTATGTGCTACTGCCTGACGGGACCTGTGTGACTGTATGAATCTGAAGCACTATTTTCCTTGGTTTTAGTATGTCTTCCATTACTGAAAATACATGGTATCTACAAAAAACTTAAAAGCAGAAAATAATTTGGTCATGAAAGGGTTAAGAGCATCCCTAAATGTCTTTAAACATGTGAGGAGATTTATTGCCACCATCAGTTTGCTTTTATGGCACAACTTCAGGGTATTCCAGGTGCAGCCTTGGTTGGGAATTCAGACTCTAATTCGCTCAGTGCTCCTGGTGGGGAATGGGCTGCACTTTATAACTCACTTTGTGTCACAATATTTAAGTGAGAACTCAGGTTTCCAAGAATGCAAAATCAGAGCAAACCAAAACCAGTCCCACTGAGTAGAGCTGAACTCAGTAACCCCATAGGACCAAGTAGAACAGCCCCGTGGGTTTTCCAATGCTGTAATCTTTACAGAAGCAGACCAAGGCCCATAGACACCCTTCAAATCTGCAACTGAACCCACTCCCAGAGATCACCTTTCAGCCAAACAGTAGACAAGACTACAAAGTGAACAATTACACTTGTGAGGAATGTGCTTCTCAGAACATTCAACTACACGAGACCAATAGGATAGCACTGGCCCAAAACCAAAGTTCAGAAGCCAGGAAGGAGCAGGGAAGATGGGCAAACAGAAATGGGGAACCCAGGGAAGAAGTGGGAAGAATGCTGTTACGTTGAGGGGCTTGCAGCTAATGTCGCAGAACAAAATGTGTCCAAATTGTTGAATGGGAAACGAATGTGCTCTGTAGACATTCACCCAAATCACAACCAATGTTCAAAAAAGACATCTTCATGGAAGCAGACTGCCACATCTTTCTCCCACAGAGCGGCTGGTGGGTTCAAACTGCTGACCTTTTTGGTTAGCTGGCAAGTGCTTCACCTCTATGCCACCAAGGCTCCTTGCAAAACCAGAAACCGGTCCCAAATGGAGAAACGACATGGGAGGCAAACAGCATCCATGCCCACGACCAGGAGGGCTCAACATGGCAGGAGGAAGCGGGGCCCCATGTTAGTAGCCCTGTGTTTAGTGTGCAGCACCATATTCATATAGCAAGCAGTAACGGCAGGGCCCTAGTAAGAACTTGATCTCTCTGCTGAATTGCATCCTCATGCCAGCCAGATGAGGTGGGTGAGTGGGTGAGGCAGACATCGTTGCCCCCATTCCACAGGTGTGCAGAATGAGGCTCGGAGAGTCAGAAAGTGCTTGTCGCAGGTCACCTAGCTGGTGCCAGGTGGAACCAGGACCTGGGACTTTCAGAGCTTGTCCCACACTCATACTCACCTGTGAAGATGCAATGAAGTGACCAGGACAAGCACCTCCTGCCACCTTGCTTGTCCTGCTGCACACTGTGACCATTCTGAAAGTGGCTACAGCACAGTGGCCCTCTGCTTGGGGCCCCTGCTGGGTGCAGAGCCATCCTCCACTGCAGCTCTGACACTGGTAAGCCCTGATCCATAGGTGATGTACTTCTTGCTTTCAGATCAATCGCTCGTTCTGCAGAAGAATGAGTCAGCCAGCTCATCGCAAATGAGGCAATGAGCGTGCAGCATTCAGCACAGGGTCGGGCTGTCATTTAATGCTTACCCTCCTTCAATTAGCTGTAGAGAATTGTGCCTTGACCTGGAATACACAGGTGGCATTACCCCCTGGCATGCACTGCTCAGTTGTGGACGCAGTCTCTGAGCATGACCCGGCGCTCGGGCCGAGTCCCTGGGATCACCTTACGTCTTACCCACTGTGGTGTATTCTTCTACCAGTCACACTTGCCCTCTGACAACCCAGTGCCGGTGAAATTCAAGGCCCTGCATGCCACTGTGCCCTGGCGTCACATGCGTCTTTGCAAGCATGACAACATGGCAGCTGAGAAGTCTGCTCCTTTATGGGGGTCTCTATGATGCCCTCCATGAGCAGGCTGTTGGAGATGCCAGGAAGTGTTCCTCTGGGGGCCACTGGCAGCACCAAGGACCCAGGTGGTGATATGTCTTGCTCTTCTCAGCAAAGCAACCATGAGCCTCACCAGGAATGGAGTCCCCCATTTAACCACAGCTCTTTTTTTTTTTTTTTTCCATTTTTGTAGTGTTTTCTCCCCTCCCCTCGCACCCCTGGTAACCAACAAAGAAAGTTTCCTTCCATATATAAACCTTTCCTTGGCTTTTTACAATAATGAACTAATACAATATTTGTCCTCCTGTGATTGACGTTTTTCACTTATCAACATAGCTCTTTCTTGTAAGGTGATACAACAATTTGTGCCTGAAGAGACAAATGTTGTTTTTAGTTTGTTTTGTTTTGAGTTTGGGTCTTTGTGGTCAATGCTTGGGGCCTAATGGTTAAAATGGGAATAAGGAATAGAATTTTCCTAACGGCCCTTGAGCATGTATTCTCAGTAGGCATGACATCACTTCCAAGGCAGGGAAACTCTTCTTTGGAGGCTGAATGATCTTAGCTATAACAATCTTTGAGGTCCACCTAACCTCAACCCTACGCAGCAAAGTCTTATTCCTGAGCAATTAATATAATGAGGACGGTAGTTAAGACAAAAATATCTAAAAAGGCTGCTTAGGCAGCAACAGTGGGGAAAGGGTGAGAAACCCTGCTTTAGTGTGTGTGTGGGGGGGGGGGACTTGCAAGACACTTCACCTCAAAGCCGTGTCTGCATCTCCGAGGCAGGAATCAACCTTGCCGTCCTGCCACACTTGCCAACTTCTAGGCACTGCCACTTCCCTCGTCTACTGAAAGGGGTACAATAAAGAGGCCCTTCTTCTAGTGACTTGCCTTCTGGCCTTCTATCCCCAGGAAATTATTCACAAGATGGGACAATTGTTTGCATAATGACCCTTGTTGCGGGGTATTTTATGTGCTCCCAGGATTAATTAAATCTGGGAGACAGCAGAATGCTCCAGAAAGGGGAAATGGCTGGGAAAACAATGCTGCGTCCTCACTAGGATATTCTGAGCCTTACAATTATGAGGACAGTGAGGACAAAGGGTTGATGACCGAATGTTGACCGAGGGAAGCAGTGCAACAATGGGGCCATTCTATGACCAAAACCCTGTGAATCTTGTGAACATGTAAGTCAAACCCTGGGTAGGAATGGGGGGAATGAAAACTTTGGCTTCTTTAGGGTACTGGGCTTGTGGACCCTTAGACTTCCAGTTGGGATCTGATACTGATACAATATGGTTTGTCCAACGAACTGAAATGTTGCAAAAGAAAAGGGGGAAAGGCAAAGTTCTCTTCCACCATCTTCTCTCAGATGCCAGATAACTTCTTCTCTCAAGAACAGGTATCTGGCCAAGCAGAGAAGGAGTCCTGGGAGGAGGAAGACTCATACTGAGAGGAACCCCAGGGGTGAGGAGCTGGTCTGGTGGGCAGGGTCTTCAGAGCTACCACCTGCCCTGGCTTCCCACCACCACCACTGTGCCGACTGTGCCGACGGAGCAGGTGGGCAGGGTCCACTGCTGCCCCCTGCCTGATGCCTCTGGGCATCCGTAGCTGCCCTGGTAATCAATACCCCTCACTGGCTACCGGCCAGCCCACTTTTCACTCCTGCTCCCTACCTGCCTACCTCAGTTCACCAACCAACCAACTGCTGTGTCCTGAACATCTGGGACTGGGGATACCAGGTCCCAGGCCAGAGTCATTAATCTCTCAAAGCTATGTCTTTCCTGCCATCTGGGGATGGACCTCATGCCCCTGCAATGGGTGACTTAGTACTAGTCAGTCCTCCTAAGAAACACCTCTCTCTTCCCGTGTCAGGTCCTGCAGCAATCTCGGGGGACCACAGCAGGGCTCTCAACTTCTTCCCACGGGGCTCCAGAGCCATCTCCCCGAACCCAGTGTTACTCCACAAGCACCATCACGACCCTCAGAGTCCATGCAAAAGCCTCTCCCAGCATTCAGGACCAGACTTCACTCCGGGCATCTGGGGCCAGGCTCCTCTGCTGGCAGACTGCCGATTAGTCTGGAAACAAGCCCCAACTCTCTTCTCTGCCCACCTTAACGCTCACTATCCTCTCTGCTCGGAGCATCCCTCCATCTCTGCCTGTCAAAATCTAACCACACACGACAGCCAGCACAACAGCCAACCCCATCTGCTGCCAAAGTCCTTCACAGACCAGCTGCTTCTCCAACTAATTCCCCATGACACAACTTCAAATATGTGCATTTAATCCAGTGTCCACTCTGGGTTTGGAACACAATGGGCAGAGTCTGTGCCCTCATTGTTCCCAGTGACTAAGCAAATTACCCACCATGGATCTAACGGTCCAAGAGGGCCTCCAGCATGCTCTAGGGACAATTACTGTCTACTGCCTTACAAGCTAGGTCCCAGGGAACTTTCTTCCTCCTCCTCCTGCCCCCTTTTCCATCCCCCACCACCTCACCCCCACTCGCCTGGAATGTCTCACAGGTGGGTGCTCCGTCAGTGTTTACCGTGCAAACCCAGCCACGCACACTCTCATCATTGGCCTGCAATTCAATAAAGTTGTCTATTTTCTCTCCTTGCCTCCTGCCCTGCTGCTGCCTCTCATTTCTGTTTTCTGTAAAAGTCTCTTTTTAATAATAGGACAAACTAATAATTTCTTCCTGAAATAGGAAGATTTCTACACTAAGCTAGCAGAATCCATACGGGGAAACTGCTCAAACTGCTGTCTTCTTTCCCATTTCCAGAACCAGGAATCCCAATGGCAAATCACTTCCAGATTTCAGGAACATTCTGCAATACACTTCAGGATCGACAGATGCTCCCTGGACGTTTTCCAGCTGAGCAGTGCTGGGCTTGGGAACCTCAAGGGGTCACCCAACATCACCCAAAGGGGTTGCACTGGATGATGCCACTGTCCCCCTTGGTGTCAATGTCTGCCAAGTCCTGCTGATCAGAGTGGTTCAGGGTATTGAGGCCCGCTCCCCCAGCTCCCGACATGAGAAGAGTCTCATTCTTCACGCAGGACAACTATTTAAAGCTCTCTGCTCCCTGGACTCTCTGTGCAGCTAGCTCATTCTGAATGCATTTAGATTTACTGCTTTTGACATTACGTGCACCAATGGTGTTAATACTTGGTCCGCTTCTGGGTTCCGAAGCATGTCCTGAGATCTCCAGTAGAAATCTGAACTAATGCACAAATGCTCCATCAAATGGCACAGTGAGAAGAGTCACACAGCTACCCCCACGAACGCAGAGCAGCAGGGATGAGTCACGGCCCTCAAGTCCAAGCGCATTACCTGGATTTCCAGAGAGCAAGACAGCAAGAAAATGTCTTTGGCACATCCCACCTCTCAGCCTGTGCCAACAGGTGTCTGGAATCTGTGTGCAAGCGTCTCAAGGCAATGGGAACATCACAACAACACAAGGCTGGTTCATTTCCTGGGCAGTGCAAGCCTTCTGCCTAATTGTTCCAAACTCAAGAACACCTGCATCTCTCCTGGAAGGCTGCTTCCTTCGCTCAGCACTGTGAGCTCTGGCTCTGAACCTTGTTAATGTGCCCTGGCAAATCCTTGCACTGTAGTGTATCAGTGAGGCCATGTCTCTGTCACTCCGTCTCTTGGATCAGAGGCACAGGGGTCTAAGGGTTTCTCTCCTGCCATCCCCTCCCTGCTTTCCAGCACTGGCTGGGCAGACACCAAGCAGGGCTTACAGTCAAAGCACTCTGCACAGGGCCTACCGTTTCCACTCATTCTCATAAATGTTTGGTCCCCTCCCCTTTTTGCACCCAGTGAGTAAGTGTTGTCAGGAGCTCAGAATTACTTGATTTCTGTCATTTCATCTGCGAAAAACCCCATCTGGGATTGTCATTTCCTTCCAACTACAATGCAAGCTGTAAAGCTATCAACCAGTAGTTCTCAAGTCTGACTGTACATCAGACTCAGAGGAGAGCTTTTAAAAACCTGGCTCCCAGCCCTGGTCCTAGAAATACTGCTCAAATAGGCCTGAAGTTGGATTCACATATAGGCATGTTTTCAAATTTCCCCAAAGTAATTCTAATATTCAGTCAGCATTAAGAATTACTGGTGCTTCCTGCCATCATATCAAATTATTATGATCTGCATGCAAAAGCTAGACAGTGAATAAAGACTGTCAGAGAAGAACTGATGCCTATGAATTACGGTGTTGGTGAAGAATATCGAATATGTCATGGACTGCCAGAAGAGCAGACAAATCTGTTTGGGAAAAAGTACAGCTAGAACACTCCTTAGAGGTACGGATGGTAAGACTTCATCTCACTTCCTCTGAGTGGTATCAGGAGGGACCAGTCCCTGGAGAAGGATATCACACTTGGTAAAGGAGAGAGTCAGTGAAAAAGAGGAAGACCCTCAATGAGGTGGATGGACACAGTGGCTCAACAATGGGCTCCAACACAGCAATGACTGTGAGAATGGTGCAGGACCAGGCAGGGTTTCCTCCTGTTGTTCACAGGGTTGCTATGAGTCGGAACCAACTCGATAACCCTAACAACAGCATGCTTCTCAGTGATATTCTAGATTCTCCTTCTTCTTCAATTTTGTACACAACCAGCATCCTTAAATCTGTGATGCCACTCAAACACACGGTGACTCTTAACAACTAGAGTATCAAATCAGAAAAGTCTAGGTTCAAATTCTGTTTCAGCCATTTGTTAGTGAGGGAGCCTTCCTCAGATCACATGAGCTTCATTCTCCACTTTGACACTGTCACAATTAAGTCTTCAGCAAACCAAAGGACTCATTCAGGGCTATCTTTAACCCATCATCCTAATTTCTGACAAAGAAATGAAGGGCTTTGTGCAAGTGGTAAGCTGCCCTTCTGACAACTTCCCAGAGTGAGATGTCACATGCTGGGCCTTACCTGTCGCATCTCCTTGTAGTTGTGGTGCTTGAAATCCAGGTCATCGGTGGTGGTCATCTCATTCCGCCTGTGGTAGTAGTTATTAGGATCTAGGACAAAAATGTCATTCAGTCACATTATCCTATTACTTGTGGCATTTCTGTTAAGTGCCTGACTCATGCTAGGCACCAGGGGGACCACAGAGCAATCCCATCGCAGCACACGGTCCAGTCTCCAACATCCCACAGAGGTGAGAGAACCAACCTGTGAGAAGCAACTTAGGACTTAGAATACCCCAGTGGTTAAGACCAAGATCCCAGGAGCCAGACTGCCTGGGTTCATCACACTGTGTGATCTTGGGAAAGTCATTTCAGCATCTTTGCCCTAGTTTCTCCACCTCCTCAATGGGGAAAAGAACAGCACCTCCCTCATTGGTCTATTCTTAGTATCAGATGGGATATCTATGTGGCTCACAAACCGTCAGCACTAAATAAATCAATGATGGACCAGTATTCTAGGTATGTGCACGTTCACGGACATTTTTGTAAGTGTGCTGGATACTACTGGTTTCTTACCCAGTGTTCATTCCTCTTCCATCCTTCTTAACAGAAGCCCTAGAGTGCTTAGGAACCCTCCCTTTCCCACTTCTAGGAAGAGGCCAATTTGACCAGTTGAAGCCAATCAGAGCATAGCATCCCCCACTTACTGACTGGACTGCAGGGAGGGCTTTGTTGGCACAGAACAGGGGTGAGTGAGGATTGCTTTGCTAGCCTAGGAATGCAAAGCATATTGCCCAGTGATCACTGCAGTCATCGTCTGACTACAGAGGACGCAGCCTCAGGATGATGTCGATGACAGGGATGTCTCACAAGACAGACCAGCCCATTGCTGCCTCACTGCTGCTGTCCTTTCCAGCTTCTAGCAGCTCCTATAGGACAGAGTAGCACTGCCCCACAGGATGTCCAAGGCTGTCATCTTTATGGAAATAGACTGCCCCATCTTTCTCCTGAAGAGCAGCTGGTGAGTTTGAACCACTGATTTTTCAGTTAGCTGCTGAGAGCTTAACCACTGCACCACCAGGGCTCCTTGGAGAGACCAGAGAGAACCCCAACATCATGAACTACTGAGTTAACCAACTCTGGAATCTGACCTTCACTGGGACTTTCAATCACATGAGAGAATAAATTCCCTTAACACAGAAGCCAGTTGGGCTGAGCTGCTATTATGAGGAATTGAAGCACCCTACCCAGTGTCATCAGAAAAGACAGGCAGAGGTGATGTGCAGGGCTGGCAAGTTAGAGAGGGGCGGAGAAGTCTGCTCTTCACTTGACTCTTCTGCGTACAGACAGACTTAAAGCACATTCGGTCACTATGAGCATGTACCAATGATGTAAAAACAAAGAGCACATGATGGGAAAGAGCAAACTGGGACAGGGAAGAGTGATGGGGGGAAAGGGGGAAGGATTCACTCCATCTGCCCTGAGATCCTTCCCCTGGAAATGACAAGGGCTTAGAGACCAACAGCCCGGATGCAGCCGACACCCCAGCCAGCTCACTTCAAACAGAAAACGTGGCGCTAAAGCCACTCACCCCACTGACCAAGGAGATGAGGGCTCGCTCCCAGTGCTTCCCCTCTGCTGGCTGCCTCGACCTCACAGCCTGTTTCTGTGTTAAAGAGCATTCTGCTGTTAGAGTGATGCAGTTAACACCCTCGGCTGCTAACTGAAAGGCTGCAGGTTTGAGCCCACCTGCAGGCACCACGGTACAAAGGCCTGGTGATCTACTTCTGTAAACCAGCCAGTAGAAGCCCGTGGAGCATGGTTCCACTCAGACACACACGGGTGCCATGAGCCAGCCAGCTTGCCGACGCCTGGTTTTTGTGTTTAACGGGTAGACCCAGCCAGCTTGCAGGCATGGACATTAGAGAAGCACTGTGCTGAAGTACAAGGAGCTCTGGTGGCGCACTGATTAAAGCATTGGGCTGTTAACGAAAAGGTCAGTGGTTTGAACCCACCAGCTGCTCCATGGGAGAAACATGAGGCAGTCTGCTTCAGTAAAGACTGACTGCCTTAGACACCCTAGGGGGCAGTTCTGCCCCATCCTGTAGGGAAGCTATGAGCCAGAATTGTGTCGATGGCAATGGACTTTTTTTTTCCTTCGGTGTTAAAATTCCTGAGCACACCACACAGCAGGGACAAGTAAGACACACGTGCAGTCCACAGCCCCTGCAGTGTGTCTGCATTCCCACAGCCACAGGTCCTGCCCAAGGACTTGCTTTAACCTGGAGGACTAAGACTGTGCACCAAGTCAAACTCACATACAGACCCCAACACTGCAAATGCAATGTCTGACATCCACAAAAGGACTGCCAGCAATACTGCTGGAAACAAACAAGGGGCACTAAAAGGGAAATCATGGCAGATGACAACATGGCATTTTGTTCAGGAAAGAAAGCAAAGCAATTCGGGTTCAGCCAAACACCCCACAATTATTTTCCAAGCTCTTTCCTTTTGGGTGCATGGGCAGACCACGCCTCGTGGCAGGCCGCCCTCCCTGTGGTTTCCAAACCTGTGTCTCAAAGCAAAGGTTACACTGTTTGGATATTAGCTATACTCCATTTACCTGCAGCCTGATTTCCAAAGGCCATTCAATACCCCGCGAGCCTCGGGAGCCCCTTTCCCAAGACCTTTAAAGACCCCTTTGCTTTGAACACAAGTTAGGCCTACAAGGTTCTTCAAAAAGATGGAAGGAAACCCAGAACCCTGGAAGAAAACTCTGGAAGAAAGCTCAGAGTACAAAAGAACTCTGTTTGGCCACATTCCTCTTTGTTAAGACTAATCACTTTGCCTAAGGATATGGGTAGATGTTCCAGAAAAGTCTCAAAACCAACCCTCAGCCTCCCACATGTTAAACAAATACTTCTTTACTTGTCCATTTATTTCAACTAGACAAGTTTTACTGAGAACCTATTATGAGCCCAATACTATGTGAAGAGATGATTGAGACTCAGGCCCAGCCCTACTGGGTCCAGAGTCTACAGAACAAGCTGCCCTTGAGGTGACTGTCACTCATGCCGACCCCAAGTATGTCAGAGTGCAGCTGTGCCCCACAGGGCCCTCAACGGCTGACTATTCAGAAGTAGATTGTCAGGACTTCCTTCCAAGGCAGACTCGAACCTCCAACCTTTCAGTTAGCAGCCGAGAATGTTACCTATTTGTACCACCCAGGTCCCCCAGGATCTACAGACAGAGCCTATCCATCAGTCGCATCTGAGCCGTAGACCGTGCCAGCTCCAAGGATCTTGGCCTGCCTGCTGCTCCTTCCTCCTGCTGTGCACAATAAGATCCCTTCTCCGGTGTCCACCACAGATCCCAGCTGCTCTCCAGAGCCTCTAGCCTCCCTCACCTCAGTAATTTCTTACCCCTCGGACATGGTCAGATAAGAAAATCCTTACGTCATCTCACCTACTCTTCATCTCCTTTCCAGAACTGATTTTAGCCTGTCGCTGATACAAAGTTCTTGGAGTCCTTGCAGGACAAGGAGGCCTCACTTCCCAAAGCAGCCTATGCCACTGCTCTACAGCCTACGTGTTAGGAACATCTTCCTTTCTGGACCTGAAGTCTATCTGCTGATCCCAATTCAACCTTCTTGAACTACGATGACCAAGTCTTCTTCCTTTCATGCATGAGGATCCTACAGACTTTGAAGACAGCCATCAAATTTCCCCGTGTTGTCTCTGTCCTGCCTACACACTCCCATTCCTCCAGTTGCCATGAGCATTCCACGGTGTCACCCTGCGGGCTCCCTCCTCTGAACACGCTGATTCATCAAGAGCTCTCCCAACCCAGGGCTTCTGGGACTTACCAAACCATGCTAACATGGCTAAACCAGAGGGTGACCAATTTGTCCCACATGCCAGCAAACACCTCAGTCCTGGGCAAAATGCAGTCATTGGTCACCCCACCTAACCAGCCTGAATAACCCTAGGAAGCGTGTCTCACTTTGCATGACAAAGTAATCAAAGGCATCAGATGCCTACAGATGGTTTCTAGTTAATGTCAATAATGAACTGGCCAGTCCAATGTTTTGCTACCTTGATGTCACAGTAAAGGACGGAGTAAGCCCATGGCCCCATCCTTGGTTAGACACGGGTGCCTCTGCCCAATGCCCAGAGATTTATGAAGATGCTGCCTAGTCTCAAAGCTGGAGGCCTTCCCTGACGTCATTCCACAGTTCACCGAGCATGGGCTCTATACCCAGCCCTGCGTCACATGTGGGCTACAGGACCAAAGATGTGTCTGATTACAAGGGGCTTGGTCAAGACTCACAAAGGAGCAAACGCATCGGCAGGGACATCAACTACAATATGGCAAAGGCTGCACTACAGATTTGGACTTGCTGGACCCCCTGCCCATTCGTGATCATGGGAGTGAAGTGCTTAAAATCATCCAGTCTCTCTCCAGATAGACAGAGGTAGAAATGTGTGCTTCTATATGTGTGAAGCGCAGTAGTTCAGTGGTCGAATCCTCCCCTTCCATGTCAGAGACCCAGGTTCAATTCCCAGGCAAGCATCTCAGGTGCAGCCCCCACCCGTCTGTCAGTGGAAGCTTGCATGCAGCTAGGAGGCTGAATATGTTTCAGTGGAGCTTCCAGACTAGGAGAGACTAGGAAGAGAGGCCTGGTGACCTACTTCTGAAAGTCAGCCCATGAGACCCTGTGGAGTCCATCTGTGCAACTGACCACAGGGTGGCACAGGAAGGGCAGCATTTCACTCCATTGTGTGTGGGGTCCCCACGAGCTGGGAGCAGATCCAGTGCTAGTTAATGTGTGTATGTTACCTGCATGTTTGTATGTTTGTATGTTACCTGCATGTTTCTTGGAAAAACCTGACTAGGACAGCCACACATTCATGAAAGGAAACTACAGGGCAGCACCAGGGGCTTAAGCATTGCCACCCCCCACCCTAAAGGTTATTTCCCAAGACCCTAGGCACAAGCCTGCAGCCTTGTGGGGGAATTGTGTGCAGAAACACTGGGCTCCTATAACTGCAGCGTGAGCTGCAATTCCGTTTGCAACAGCATGATACCTGAAAACCACCAATGGTGTGAGGTCCAAGTCTGCCGACATATATCTTAACTTGAATTCTTCGTTATCAGAAACTTATCCTAAGACGGAAGCTCTGGTGGCACTTCTAAGAGTTAAAAATGGACATTTCAACTCAAATTTGGGGACCAGGCCTTTCTTTTACTTTTGAACTTTACAAGTCCTATTAACAGACTGTAGTACATGGTCATCCATTTTCCAGTCCAGAAATTTCTGGAAGCATTATTCCTGAGGACTTAAAGAACCACCACCCTCCTCAGCCCCCACCAGAGCGTTTGCCTGAAGATGATAAGGATGAAAAGGAAAGAACAAAGACGAGCAGAAGCAAAGGGAAATGAATTTTTCATGAACCAGAGTTGGGGGCTGGGACTAGACCACCTTTGGTTTGGGACGCTGAGTCAGCTGGGGTATCACTGGCTTGGCCTCATTAACTTACAACAGCTTCAGGGCAGTGGTGTGGACTCAAGGCCCTGTGTCACCCCCAGGCCCCAGACATGACCACCACCAAGAGGCATGCGTGAACAGCCAGCTCCCCTGGGCCGAATGGCTAAATAACTTCTAGAAGGAAAATGGCCCTAAATATTTGGGAGCGGAAAACAGAAACATTCCGAGTCTACACTTGAAACCCAAACTTCATAAAGTGCCTCTGTCTCTGTCAGTGTTTAGCCCCTAGGACTTATCCTCAAACACACATGCACTTCAAGAATAACTTCACAGGGAAATATTTATTTCATGAGATTCTCACAAGCTGCACTTCGCCCTCTACCAACAGCAGATGCATTCCTGCTGCAGAGAGAAACCATGGCCCTGTCCTTGAAAGCCAGCCAACGGAGACTAAGCTGAGCTGGGGCAGAGCAAGTGCCCAGCCTGGCAGGGGCAGGGGCCTTGCATGGCTCACTGACCTCATGGCCCGGACACACTGTGCTCAGGAAAGCCCCCACTGGCCCTGGCTGCTGGCCCTCAACTGCAATCCCAGGAGGAGCCATCCCCAGAGGACACCCAGATCCAAAACCAGGCCAGGCTTCCACATTCTTTCTGCATCAGCCTCAAAAATGAGTTGACCCTTTGCCCCAGCAATTGCACTTTTCAGAATCTACCTTCAGAAAGCAATTGTGGGCATGCACAATGGCACAGAAACAAGGATGTTCAGAGTGGGGTTGTTTCTTGAATCCAAATACTTTAAACAACTCAGCTCCCAGCTACGCCAGACAGATTAAAGATGTGGGATTTCACCCATAGACTAGAAGACGTCCATAAACCAGATGGTCTCTAATAGTTTTAATGACATGGGAGACGTTTTCTAATCTAGGAAGTAGGAACACATGTCTAACAAAGGGCTTGTCTGGTGGAAGTCCATCTAATGCAAGGGAGGGTAATAGGTCGAGAGACTGTCTTCCTCACCAGCACAGGGTTTGCGTTCTGGAAATTGGTGGTTGGCAGAGCAGGATCATGGATATAATGGGACCAAGAGGAAAACACTAGCATGGCCTTAACTATGCATTGAAAACGTGATAAATGCAAGTTCACCAGGGTAGCGAGGCTACGGAAACAGCACGACGGGTTCGTGGGCACCTGAGGACATCACACCCGGTGGGACCCTTTCCCCAGGGGTACCGGGAGGACCTCCAGCTCCACAGTGAGCCATGGCCATGCCTCCCACTAGGCAAGACTGGCAGGGCCTCACTGAAGGAGAGGAGGGGAGAGACCAGCCCACGGCTGTGCACCTTGCTCCTCAGGGCCTCACTGTGGGTGGTTAGACTGAACATTCCCACAGGCCAGGCTGAGGGGCCATAAGGGTGGCTAAGGGGCCAGGTTCTCTCCCTGCAGATGTCTGGTCAGGATGGTGAGGCTACGACTACAGGCTCTGGGTCACTGCCTCTGAATGTCCATACAGAACCAGGCAACCTCTCCAGGGCAGACACCAGCAAGGATCCAGATGGCAAAGGTGAATTCAAGTCTCTTTTCTTTAAGCAGCTCTGGTGGTGCAGTGGGTACAGCATTTGGCTGCTAACCAGGAGGTCTGTGATTCAAATCCACCAGTTGTTCTATGGGAGGAAGATGAGTCAATCTACTTCTGTAAAGATTCATAGCTTGTATTCTATGGGGTCACAATGAGCTGGAATTGACTTGATGGCAGTGGGTTTGGATTACTGGTTTTCTTCAGTGCAGCAGGTCCCTGTGTGGCACAGATGGTTTCCACTCGACTGCTAACCTAAAGGTCTGTGGTTCAAACCCACTCAGCAGTGCAATGGAAGAAAGGCCTGGCAATCTTCCTCCATAAAGACTACAGCCAGGAAAACCCACGGAGCAGTTCTACTGTGCCGCACATGGGATCGCCACGAACTGATCTCAACCCCACGGCAATGGAGTTTTTCTTTCTGCCACCACAAGGTCACCCCCATATAGCCTCAACTGGGAATACAGCTCAAAAGACAAGCATTTAGCCAAAGAAACAGACATCCCAGTGAAACTATTTAACCAGAGAGAGACTATTAAAACTGTCAAGTTTAAAACTGACTTCTACCACGTCCCCCCTCACTCCCACCACCCAGTGTAGTGGGAGCTCTCATGCACAATTAAATTTATTGCCAAACATTTCGTTTGAAAAATACTTCCTTTTGCTCATTTCTGAGTGATAATGCCGAGTGAATTCTCAGCCCTGAAACATGCATTGTCTCATGAAGGCAGCGGGTAAAACCACGGCTGGTAGGCGATTTCTCTACCTTGAATGTTCATGAAATTTTTATTTATTTTTGTTATTGCTTATCTATGTTTTCTAAATATCCTACAGTTGTTGTTGCTGTTCTAGGGATCATTGAGTCAGTCTGGACTCATAACCACCCTACGGACAACAGCATAAAACACTGCCTGGTCCTGTGCCATCCTCTCAATCTACAAGAGACACGTATTGGGTTTTTTTAATATGAGAAAAGGGGTCGTGGTTTTTTAATATATATATATATATATATATTTGGTTTTGGGTGAAAACATGCAAAACAAAGCATATACTGGCTCAGCGTTTCCACACGAGCAGCGCACTGGTGCTGGTTCCATCCAGCCCACTGTGGCGCCAGCTCGCTGTCTCTGCCCATATTGTTTCTCCAGGTCTTTCAGAATCTGCTGCTGAAAGTTCTCTGTGTGTGAGGGCTCCTCTGGCCTTCCTTTGCCTTGCCTCTGTGAGGCATCTGCTCTCTGTTGGCAATCCTACCCTGCGGGGAGCTCACCTGGTAGTGGGCAGCCCAGGATTTCCATCCGCATACAGATGCTCCCGTTGTCCCACCAGGACTGCGGGTTTATGCGGATGTAGCGGGCCACCATGGGAACGGGCAGCTCATTGAGAACTGGGATCTCCTTCTCAGTGTTCCCTTCAAATATCTGTTTATGCAGAAGGAGAAAAAGGAAGAAGCTTTTAGAGCTGGCAAAGGATACGAGCATCAGTAATTCATTCATTCAACAAGGCACTATTGAGCATCAGCTGATGTGTGCAGGGTATTTAGGGGAAAAGAACAACGAATTAGGTCTGGGCCTTGCTCTCAGGAAGTCACTATCTGGTGGCGGTGGTGGTGGCAAGCATATCCAGTAAGAGGAGTCGATTAGAGCCATAGAAAGGGGCAGAGGAAGGGCTAGCCAAAGCTTCGGGGAGGAGGTGCCATCAGTGCTGGCTCTGAAGGAAACTATTTAGATTTACAGGGCGGGGGGGGGCGGTCTAGGGAAAAGCAGCAGCAGACATGGGATTTCCAGAGATGGGATTCCAGGGAGAAGGGCAAGAGGCTCATTTTTCCTATAACACAGGAGTGTGCACGTGGGGTAAGAATGAGAAACAGATTGACAAAGGAGCCTGCCGTCCAACTGTGTAAGACATTGCATATGTTATTAGGAATAAGCACGTAGGAATCTGAATACGAGAGTAACATGCAGAACTGGCGAACTGTGGAACTAAAAGTTTGCAGCCATCAAAGAAAGTTAGGAGACTATTAACATTGAATAGCTATGAGGGGTTCCAGCATACCCCATGTTCTGTACATCTTTAAGGGCTAATCTGTGATTTCTGTAGGAGGCTAAAGACCAAGGGCTGAAGGTTATACTGTGGGTCACTTGGTGCTGAAGCGCAGGCCATGGAAGGGGAATCACTGTCCATCAGGCTCTCATGCTGGTCTGAGCTGACACAGAATCAGTGAACTTCGAGGCGCCAGTGTTGCATGACTCCCTCTCTGTGCCGAGCCCCACACAGCCAGGCACCAAGGACACAGTCAGAGGGAAGCAGAGACTCACCATGTCTCCTGATCCATTCTTAACAGTGACCCATGTATGGCTGTCATTGCTCACCATCACCTTGTAGGATGTTACCCAGTCACTCCTACGGGAAAATAAAACATCATAGGTACTACATATATTAAAATGTTCACCATTTCCATATAGAGCTGTTGCAATAAGGGAAGTAGGTGTCACAGGAAGAGAGCTGTGGGTCAAAGCCTGGGCCCACCACTTCTTCCCAGCTGTGTTACTTTGGCTGGGTAACAAACCTATCTATCTCTGCCATTGCTTTTCCATCTATTAACTGGGAACAACAAGAACACCAAACTCAAATTACTAATGTGAGCACTAATGGTTTAATATACATAAAGCACTTAGGTCAATGCCTAGCACTTAGCACTAAGTGTTTGGCACACATATATATCAAAAAACAAACCAAACTCACTGCCATCGAGTCAGACCTGACTCACAGCGACCCCTCCTTGGGTTTCAGAGGCGTTATCACTACAGAAGTAGATTGCCCAACCTTCCTTCTGAGGAGCAACTGGTGGGTTTGAACCATCCGCCTTCTGGTTAGCAGTCAAGTGCCTTAGGCACTATGCCACCAGAGCTCCTTATATACAAACACTTATATATTGGATTAGGAATTCTGGTAGCATAGTGCCTAAGGCACTTGACTGCTAGCTAGAAGGCTGGCAGTTCAAACCCACCAGCCGCTCCTCAGAAGGAAGGTTGGGCAATCTACTTCTGTAGTGATATCACCTCCGAAACCCAAGGAGGGGTTGCTATGAGTCAGGTCAGACTCGACGGCACATAACAACAACATATATTGGATTACATTGAACATTTATATCACAACCAGTGTATACAATTTACACAGTGGTCAATTAATGGAGCCCAGGTGGCAGAATAACCTCAAGCAAGGATTACAAACTGGTCTAGAAATTTCACTTGGACAACTCATTTGGAAATTAACAACTGGACATGACCACACCACAGAAGTGACAGCCTGTGTCTCTAAGAGAGTGCTGTGTTTCTCCTTGGTTGCCACAGCCACCTAGACAAGCCTCATCCACCAAGAATCCAAAGACAGGTGGACCCAAAGCCAGGCACCTGTCACCTCATACTACCGCATAGAAGTTGCTAGAGGTAAAGCCCAAGTTTGACTTCCCAGAGTGGAAGTCAATCTCATAGGTTTGGCCAAAACAGCCCTTCATGCAGAAAACACATTTTTCCTCCTTGCCTCATTTTTCTGAGCAACATCCCTCCACCTTTTTAATTTTAAAAATACTGAAACTACGCACCAGTGGACTAGCCTTTAGTAAATTCTACCTGTTGAGGTATTTAGAATCCTTCTGTAGGGATGGCCTGGTGGGGTGTCTGGCCTCCTCTGACTTCAAAAGGGGCGAGGATATCACCATCAGCAGCCCACGGCTGATTCCTGTGAGGCCAAGATCAGACATCCTCCACCCTGCGACCTGTTCACTACTTGGTACCAGGTGTGCCCTGACAGTGTTCTCTTCTTCTTGGCCAGGTTTGATAATTCCTTGCAATGGGCAGATCTCACAGACCATACTCACAGCGATGTCCTTTATTAGGAAAATAACAGGTTACAATCCAGGTCCAGGAAGGCTCAGGGCACAGGCCTTCGATCAGGACAGCCTCTTCTCAGCTGTGCCCACAGCCAGGCCTGTCTCTGGCCCTCAGCTCCTCAGCCTGGCCTTTGCCCTGGTCAGGCAAGTTACATAGCTCATTCAGTTCTGCCAATAAATGCTCAGAGTCACCCACTAAGCCTAGGACAGAAGACGTTTAACTCTAGCTCTCAGGTTGGCAAACCTAGGTCCATTAAATATCCAGAGGCACTCCACTTCCCAGGAAGCCTCTTGCCCAAAGGTGCCCTGCTTTCTTGCTCCATGGGCCAGGAAGCCCCCCCCCCCCCCCCGCCATCTCCTGCTGGTCTCCTGCCAGTATCCTGGCTCTGTTGCCTCTGTAGCTCTTCTGTTGCTGCTTCTCTTGTTATCTCTGGTGTTAGAGATCCCTGTCTCCTCGGTCAAGCATTAACTCTAGTGGGATGGCAAAACTGACCAACCCCCTTACTGGGGTTCCACAAACGTTATTTCTTTCTTTCTTTTTTTTTTTTTAATTAGGATTTGGGTGAAGATTTACAGAGTAAATTCACTTTTCATACAGCAGTTCACATATACTTTGTCTCATGTCATTGACCAAAATTTACAATGCAGCAGCTCCCCTCCCACTTCCTCCCCATAGTTACCTCCTCCCAGTGTCTGTCCCTTCATACTCTTCTGCACCCTGAGCTATCTCCCTGTGCATAAGCAGCCCTTCCTTCTCCCATGATCGTTCTCTCCAGGGCGTGTGTCTACTTGAGGTAAATGTTTAACTCACATGCCTGTTCTTTGTTTGGCTGGAAACCACAGTTGTGGGTTCAATTCCAGACCTGAAGGGCAGCTAGGGGCCATAGTCTCAGTGGTTACACCAGGCTCTTTTGGACCAGCAAACCTGGTCCCCACCTTCTTTTTTTTTTTTTTGCCTCCAAATGATTTGGAGTTTTGTTCCACATTGTTCTCCCTCTTTATGCAGGAGCTCCTACATCCCTTCCAAGTGGATGGCAGTGGTAGCCGGGCACCATCTAGTTCTTCTGATCTCATAGTTGTATAGGTTGCAGATCGGATGGTGTACCAGTCGCTAGGACCACAAACGTTATTTCTATGGTCCCACCCTCCACAAAGCTGCAATGCACCTTACTCATATTAGGAAGCTATCCAATCCCCGGGTGGGCCATGAACACCTCATTTGCATAGTCCCAGCCAGTCATCTGGTAAGAGTCATAAAGACCATGACCAAAAGGGCCACACGAAGTAATTCACTGCACTGTAGGTCACTCCTGTCTCTGCTTGCTTCTCTCGCTTTTTATTTCTTGTAAGATAAAAGGTGTGACTCAAGCAAGACATGACTTCAGTAAGGTGGTGAAGGATGCTGATTTGAAAAATGGTGGTAAGGATGGTGACTGGGATACGGGTGGAGACTTGAGTCAACACCTCCAAGATACAACCTGCCTTAATCATGCATCATTAACATAACAGACAACTCACTCGCCAATGGGCCCATAACCACATAGTGGCTAGGATTTACAATACATCGCAAAATGGAGGGTAATTGCATCAAACTACAAATTATAATTACAAAATGGAGAATAACCACACAATAACGGGAATCATGGCTAGCCAAGATGACACATAATTCCAACCATCACAGGTTCCAAATACCCTACTTGTATTAGCAGCAAGTTGTCCAATTACCTTGGTAGGCCATGTTGTTGTTGTTGTTGTTATGTGCCTTCCATAAGCACCCTATTTGCATAGTCCCACCCAATCATTGTGTACAAGTCACAAAGACTACGGCTAGAAGGGTCATATTAAGTAATTCATTGCACTGCACCTTCTTTTTCTCTTGTAAAATCTCCTTGGACCCAGGACCTAGATAAATTCCAACGAAGTTCTGCACCGTCAGTATGAATCATTACTGTCTAGCAAAGCTTATTTAGAAAGAGCAGCTGGCTCTATGAATTCTGGTTCATCTGACTGACTTGTCAAAAATGTATTCTTAGGTGTGTTTATGCATGCTTGGAAACAAACACTCCTCTCACACCTTCTCTGTTCTCCTTTCCACCACCTCTGTCTGAATGCTTGCTAGAAGCCAGCATCCATCGCAGAGCACCTTCCTCCTTGGTGGATTACTGGCTGGAGCCCATGATGGCAGACTTGGATGCATGAGGCATGTCTTTTGAAAAACACCTCAGAAACAGCTCATGTCCTCTGCACTGGAAAATCACCCTCATCCAAAATAACAACCTGTTGCCTAGATTCAGGAAGTGCCCAATAACTTCTAACTGCAGTCATTCTGATGTCTGGTTTTCTGCTGATGAAGTCCAAGGCCTACTTGGTAGAAGCAAGGGGCTGTATCCTACACCAAGATAACAGTGAATCTGGGAAGCCCCTCAGTCAAAGGAAGCTTGCAAATCAGGAAGGCGATAAATACTGGAATTAGGTTCCTCAAAGAAATGGAGAAAAAGGAAATGAGAGCCAAGTAACAATTTCTTACACTTAAAAAACTTAATGTAAGCGAATCTGCTCTTTATATTAGGGCAGTAATTAAATGTCTACATAGCTCAGCTCTCTCTTTGAACTACAGACCTACATCGGATCATTCCACCTGCTTGAGCTCCCCTCCTAACGCCCCAGAGGCATCACCAATCTAACCAGCCCCAGAGCAACTGGTTAGTCTCTACCCCCAACAGCTCCATCCCTCATCCCTGCCCCACACATGGTCCTCTGTTTCAGGAAAGGCAGTCAAAATCCTGGCTACCTTCTTCAATCTTTCATTAATTCTAATAGTTGGTGTGTGGATTCCATTGGATTTTTTTTTTTAAATGTACCTGATGATGCCATCTGGCAACAGGGACAGCTCTGCTCCTTCATTTCCTGTCTCTACTCTTTTTCTTCTTCCTGCTTTCCTCTACTGGGTAGTACCTTCACTTCAGCGCTGAGAGAAGTAATATCAGACATCCTTGTCTCATTCCTAAGCTCGGAGGAAACATTTCAATAGTTGGCCATGGAGTAAGATGTTCTTGTTTGTTTTTGTTTGCATCAAGTATGAGTTTATTGTTTTCCACATAACGGGGAAGTTTGGGGGTATGCGGTACCTGGCATTTATTTAGATGGTTCACTATGCCAGAGCCAACATCAATATGTGTTCATTTTTCATACACGTTATCTCTTGTGAAGGAAGCCTTGGTAGTGCAGTGGTTAAGTGCTAAGTTGCAAACCAAACACCAGAACCCACCAGCCTCTCTGTGGGAGAAAGGTGAGTCAATCTGCTTGCATTAAGATTACAGCTTTGGAAACCACACGGGGCAATTCCACCCTGTCCTACAAGGTCACTATGAGTTTGATCAACTGATGGCAATACGTTTGCTTTTTGGTATCTCTTGTGGTAACTCTTGCAAGTTCGAAGAGGACATCACAAGAGGAAGTCAGTAAACATATACTTTGCATACCTGTCTCAGAGTTCTAAGAAAACGTCCTG